AGATGGACGGGTGAAGAGGAGGACGTCGGAATGAGGGGGATGCACAAAAGAAACACCCTGCTGGCTACTTTGTAATCAATACAAATAAGAAAAATGGAATTGATGGTGATAAGCAACCTTATGGAACAAACAGAACACGTCGTTCTTAAAGTTACTTCCCAGGATGCGAATGACGAATACATTAAATTGCAACCTGATTGCAATGGGATGTTAATTTCCTAAGTGTTCCCGAGGGAACCTATGTTAAACTGTAGCAATTTGACAATCGATAAATTATTCAACTGTTTGCTTAAATTTTACTCATAAATGGGCAATCTCTTCAGAAAGTTTGGAACTGGTAGGATTTTCTCTAAATTTTCATGAACATATATAATGCTAATGCAAATACATGAACTGACACGCGTCTGTCCGTTTTCATTAACACTCATTTACATCACCGAGACTGCTTCCGACGGTAGTGAATGTCGCAGGATGAGTTACCTAGAAATTCAGTTGGGCATATGAATGGCTATCTCTCCTTTTGGGGACTCCTGAAAGGTACCGTGGGCTATTTTCGTGTTGTTCCGCAAAGCATCTTGTTCGCTGTCCTTGTGCTCAACCTGTTCACCACCAAATACCGAAATCAGAACCAGAAAATGTTTCGCTCGTGGTCGGCTTAGCGGTAAACATGTGACGTGAAGAGATACGTGCCAGAACGAATGCCGATATCATAAGTTTAAGGGACTTCAAAATGTGAGTGTGTCATGTAGTTCACATACGTGTGAGATCAGACTGTGTGCCAAACAAATCACGGTACAATAATCTTTTTAAAAAAGAAAATCATTCCATGATTTGCTTGTGGGCGGAACTCTGCTGGCTTTCCTAGGCCACGGCAGGTGAATTTTCTTGGAGAGTTCACAACCGGAGCCTTCGGGTAGCCAACGGCTGACCCGCAATGCAGTGGGGTGGGGTGGGAAAACTGCAATCCACTGAGGACCGGTGTCCAGCTCATCGGATTATACCCTTTTTGGACGGTGCCAAATACATCTCGATGCCCAAATGAGCCGGTGACCACCACCACCACCACAGGAAGGTTCTTACGCCTCTTCTTGGTTGGTTTGGAATTAGTGTTTTCAGCCAACCCCTCTAGGTGAACTGTCAGTGGTTCGCCAACCTGATTATCGCCCCAGTTGTTGGCTTTTCGACGTCCCACTTTGGTAGGAAAACAACTCCACCACGTGAAGGCAGTGAGTAGGGCTTGTTCGGCAGATGCTATTTGAGACGCTTGGTCGTGTGGGAGCATTTCGCGGGGCATAAAAGAAGGGTGACCGGCCACAACCGAAGACACCCACCTCCGACCATACTGAGTAGTGCATTCACACTCAACCACATATGACTTAATTGTGGTTAGTAAAGGGTATTTTAGATAGTGTTATGGTCGGTGTACTAGACCCGTGCTAAATGACGAGGGGCTTAGGTGAACTTTTTGCCTTCGTCATCTGCTACTTCACAACAGTCTTCCTCCAACCAATCATTGTGTACCGTTCGTTTGACATAAGATGTGGTTTACCTGAAATCCATGTCCTATTTGAGCATATCCAGTTTGATGAAAACAGTGAACAGTACCGAATGGTGCATGTGGAAGTTTCTTCATACCGTTTCATTGGTGATGGATGGACTGACGACTTGATCAGCATTGTTTACGTCACCTTTCTAATTTACCGTTTAAATTTAGTGCTTACATGTAAATATGCATCTCAGAAAGATAAATTACGTAATTGAACCATCTGGTTTCTGTTACTTAAACAAACTAATTTCAATGATGAATGATTAATCACCTCAAATGGCAAATCCCGAACTTTGCCAAGTAATCCGCCTTCCTATGACACAGTGAGAGATTAAACTGAGGAGAAACATTCATTGTTGTAGACGAAAACGAAAATCAATGGAAACTCTCATATCGTTTTTGCAGTTCTTCGACAAATATCATTTCATAATCTTTGGGGAAATGATCAGAGAATGAAATTTTTCCCGATCAAAGAGAAAACCTGAAATGAGAAACTGGGAACCATTGTGCAGCCTTCGAAAACTTAGCGATGCACACCAGATAAGTTCACTCCGGACCCCACAAGAAGAACGCAACGGCACCATGCACCATGATCGATCAAACAGCTGATAAGACTGGCTTTTAGCAGAAGATTCCACTGCACAACTGGTTGCGAGCGACGAGCCTCGCGCTGATTACAACGGGTTACAAATACACCGGGAAAATTCAGAATCTGTATTTTATTCCATACTAAGAGAATAAATTTGCTCTTGCATGATACATACAGTGAAAGACAATGGTTTATAGAGGCCTAATTTTTATCAGCCGTGTACGAAGAATTTGTACGTAACACAACCGTACACTCTAGAGCTGCAGCAGCTCTAGTCGAACGTAATCAGGGATTAAGTTCCATGTGACTGGATTCACGACGTATTTTCCTGAATTGGCGGAGATGTTTCTATGCCTGCTCAGGCCAGAAGCCGACAGCTTGGAAAAATTCCCATTTATCATTTAAGTGGTGTTTTTACGATTAAATAAACAAAACAAATACTGAGATTTACCCTCTCTAACACCTCGATTTTCTTTAACAGCCCCTGTTGTTTATACTCTAACGTTTATTTCACCCAAGTCATTTGAGAACCAAAGTACTAGGAAATACCCCCTCATGGGTTCATTGTTTCGAGAGATTCGATGGAAAAGGTTGCTTCACTAGAGGTCTGTTGAATAAAGCTCAACAAAGTACTGAATTTGTAACAGTGTTACATAAAGATCAGTTATAACACAGCGACCACATGAATCGTTTCGGTCTACCAACTGAACGCAATCGAAAACAGACCAGATGTAATGGTTTCAACAATAAATGAGGTATGAAAGCTTTGGCACACCTTTTAGAGTGAATTGTCACTCGTTTCGATATGAAAAACTCACTTTGGTCAATATAAGAGGATCGTAAAAATCCGGTTTCAGGTAGGTTGTATTGCCTTCTTCATTGGGATCGCTGTGCGTAGGTCCGGGAGAGACATAACCATCTGATTTGGACAATTGAGGGGATAAATGTCTCGCTTGGGGATTCATTTCGGTCATGTGCGGTGATAAGGCATTTCTGGACCCGACAAACGATGATGCACTCATTGCGGAATTAGTCGCAGTTGTTTTTTGTGTGCTTTGTGAATCCACCATGACAGCTGATGAGTCCACAGATTTTCCCGACGGCATCGAACGTGGATGCCTAATTCGCATAACGTGAGATCAATTGAACAAATTAGTCAAACGTGTGTGCCAGTATAATCCTTCACAAAAATCTGACAGATTAAAAACCAGATAATGAATTGCACTGTGAAACAGAGAACAACATGCGTCGAGCACAAGATACAGTTGACTGGGAGCAGAGCGATGAACTGTAAAAGACTGCGTGATTTTTCACCAATCAACGGTGTGGCAATCACGTTTGTCGAACGGCCCACACTGATTGGTTCACTGGGCGACCAATCAAATGTTAACCAATTGGCAGGTGACGTGACCTTAGCTGCTGACTGAGACAAACGTTGCGGACGGTAGTCACGCTGCAGCATGGTACATGATAACCGCAAATGTCCGTATTTTAAGACGGGGGTGGCGTTGGGCCGTGAAGTATGATGCTGGCTAAGTAACACGATTCCACGACATGATAAAGTAGCTTAGATACCCTTAACGAAAATTTATTTCGGGAGGAGATCGTAGACTAACCATCAGTTTGGCAAGCGACTTTGATCGCTTTATCAGGCAACTGCATACCCACCGCTTCGGAAAAGTAGACAGATGAAGCTCCATTACGTTATTCATAAATCCCCCAAGTTTCTACAAAATGGTGAATCAGAAAACTAGTCAGCCATAATATACTCTAAATTCACGAAACTTTTATGTCATCAAACCACCTATCCAGAAAGTGGTGTACTACAGCAGTGAGCTTATCCTTCTGTCTGACATTTATTTAAACAATTTGCTGTCTTTAGTAATGAGGTCAAAGCGCAGTATCAATAAAAGAGCAAAACCTTCACAAAATGATTAAATACACTTACGTAAAAGGAACCACGGTAAAAGATATGCAGCTGAGAGAACTGAGTTGTCAGTTAATCACTTTCGTATCTGTAATTGGACTCATGAGATAAAAATCAACCAATATTGATTATGACGATGCCACTATTGGTGACAATGATGGTAATAGTGATGGTGATTCTGGTGGTGTTGGTGGTGATGCAAAACGAGGAGGGAGGAGGTTAGTATGCGGAAATAAATCGGTTATAGTGAAAGTCAGAAGAAAATTTTAAGGGGAATACATTTATTTATGATGACTGGTTAAACAGAAAAATTGTTCCTTGAAGGTCCCGTTTGTGATTCTTTCAGACGAAAAAGCCGACTAATCGTTTGAAATCCCGATGAAATAACTAAAGGGGACAGTGAGGCACATTAGATGTAGAAATTCTATAAATTCTATGTACTTAATTATGTTTCTCTGGGACGTACAATTTAATTTTTCTGGTGAAGGTATCACGGGTTCCTCTGGATAGACTGAAAGTTCTGACCGAGATTCGTTTGTACAGGAGAATACCTTGAGCAGGAACCTGCGAACAATCGTCCCACTTTTCCGCAACACTGCCCAAATCTATCTTATTTTTTTCCTCGGAGTAATCGACGTTCACGCTTGTTGATGGTTACAACTTATTATCTTACAATCAGTTTCATCGATAACAGTTGCTGTCATACTTTAGTTTTTTAAAGCAGTCACATCTATCACAAAAACATCCTTTTATTCTCTTCATATGGAACTCCAATTTAGTTCGGGGTTCAACGGTTCACACTTACGAAATGTATGCGAAAATAGGGATTTTTCCGGTAAACAGAACTGTTACTGCATGAGAGTCTGTTTTCCTTTGTGAACTCATCTCTCTTTATAAAAATGGTCAGTAGTGCATATTCCATAAGTTCGCGGGGGCCGAAAACACAAACATTACACAATAATAATCCGACTGGTTAATCGCATGGACTATACGTGCTGAGCCCCAATGGCTTACCACACGATCGTAAAAATATGATCTTGCCCAAACCCGTCCCTATATTATTGGAACTTAAGGCCATGCCCCGATGCACGAATTCTACACAAGACTTTATTGGGAAAATACAGATGTAGTTGAGCGTTTTGTCTGTGATTTTATGACATATCCAGTGTGGTTCTCACCGGTGGAACGGCTGAAAGTGATATTCGATCTGTCGGGATTCGTTTGCGCGGCACACTTTTCTTTGACAGTTGGTCTATCAAACTAAAGTTTACATGTTTTTCTATTCCTTTCATTTTTTATCTGTCGTTTTCTACAGATCTGCTTCAAAGCTTGTCACACCTTCCAAATGGATTTTTTCACCGCTTGCCTAGTACAAGGCAGTATGCACTGTTTTGCGATGGTTTATATGTCCCTCTAGGTTCGATGGTTGGGACTCTCTTTCATGGATTCAACAAAAATTTCGAATTAAATTGCTTTCTTGCCTCTAATGTTTAGTCCACAAACCGGATTTGAGCAGTCGGTTCTTCGCTAACAACTATTTTCGCCGACTGAAATGAACTTACGTAAGAAATATCTCTTCGCGTTCTCAGTGGGTGTAATGGGCAAACTGTGGTTTACCCCTACAGTTAGGTAAGTATCTATTCCGTGAGGATAATTCGGCCTAGTACATAAATCCCTAATGAATCTTGGGTGTGCAACACAAAATTAAAGTCCCAGAACCACACGATCCTCGCCTCTGAAGGCACGCTGCTAACCTTAAAACAACCAAGAGCTATTCAGCGTTGGGTTTGATTCACGTGCGTCAAGAGGCACTGTATGGACTAATGGAGATCTTTGGTGCAGAAAAAGCGCTTGTCTGGTTTATTCCACAGGTCCTAGGGCACATCCACTGATGGTCCTTTTGTTTCACGACGAACTGCTCCCTTACTCCCAGGGAGCCACATGGATGGCCGTTCGACCTTGAGACGAGCCCGGTACCAAAGAGCTCCGCTGACTGTAGAGTCGAACTAACCTGGCGCTTACCGCCGATCTGCCATATATCCTGATGGGGAACACTGCACATTGGCTTTGCGGAAGCGCCAAAATAGAATACGGTAAATTACACACCGATTGGTTCTATGTATGCAAGGGGCAGGGATTGTGACACACGAAGCCCTTTGTGCCGAGTTAAGACAAAACTCCATTCTCATAAGGGGGGATGTCGGTGATTGAGTTTAACCACGTCTCCATGAATTTAATACAACTTGGACGGCGAATCTGATCAACGAATTACCGTAATCCAACCTTCAATATATCTCATGATAGTTGCGCACCAGTGAAAATGATCTGTATCACTGTAGCTGTAGGATCACTCAATAATTGCTTGAACGGGTCTGTAATGAACATGGTTGTTATGCATGGTGTCGGAGTAGAAAGCCCTTTATCAAAGATTCCTGCCATCTTTTACGAGGATATGGAAGTTTTCCGGTTTCAAAAAGAAAACTGGCTATTTCGGCTAAATCTATTGGCGCTCGAGTCATAAATAGTCGTTAACATGGGCTGATTCCACGATGACTTTCCCGAAACACGGGACACTTTCATGCAATGGGGTAGAGGAGAATGAAACTAAAACTCTATTCTGAACCCGAAAACAAAGTACTAGTCATTGAAGAACCAGTTGCATCGTGGCGGCTTAAAATAATGAGAATCATTAGTGGAAACATTCACTGGGGGACTGCAGGGCAAATGGAAAACAAATTTGTGCTGAGAGAATTCACCAAAAGTAACACATTCGAGGGAAACCGATTTCATCACTAAATCCATGTTTGGTGTCCAGACCAAGGATGGGATCGTCAAAAATAGACCGTGCAGGCGTACAGGCGACCTAAACTCGTACACATCGGCAGCCATTAAACTGACCGGGACAGCGTGGTGCGTGAGTGACGAGAGACCAGCTGGTCAGAGGCGAAACGCGCAGGCGTGTGGTTGACCAGTATTCAGTGAAAAACTGTGCGAATAGATGAAATTCGGACCGCATCACTAATTGCCCAATTTGAGCATTGCAGTCAGGAACCAATGGTTTGAAAGATACGAGTGGGTCTTTTTTATCGTGAACTATTTCGTAACAGATGTCCTTGCCGTTCGCGTGGTCACCTAAACACCGGTTGTCGGTTGCGTCAGCCAAGTGGCCCTGATTTATGCACCCAGACGTTTTCGACGTAATCAATCAAAGCAACTTGTAACCGACCTAGCATTGCTACTTTTGGCAACCTTTCTTTGCATGTACACCTTGGCTCAATATGATTAATCGAAACAGTA